AGCTGGGACTACAGGCATGTGCCACCGTGCCCAGCTAATTTTTTCTGTGTATTTTTAGTTGTCCAGCTAATTTCTTTCTATTTTTAGTAGAGATGGGGTCTCGCTCTTGCTCAGGCTGGTCTCAAACTCCTGAGCTCAAACGGATCCTCCCGCCTCGGCCTCCCAGAGTGCTAGGATTACAGGCGTGAGCCACCCGGCCTGGCCCAGAATGCCCATTTCCTTTAAACAACAGGCCGGGTGTGGTGGCTCACAACTGTAGTCCCAGCTACTCAGGAGCCTGAAGCCAAAGATCACTTGAGCCCCAGGAGTTCAAGGCTGCAGTGAGCTATGATCATGTCACTGCACTCCATCCTGGATGACCGAGCAAGAGCGTGTCTCTAATTGGCATAAGAATGAAAGCCACTGTTATGCTACGTGCATGCGTTTATTTGTTTATTTGAGTGACAGGACAGTTAAGATACCCAGCTCTTTTTGAATGTAATTCTTCAATGAAGTACCCAGATTATTGCCCTATATATTTGAATTCTTTAATTGTAGCCAGAGGGATGAGTGTATACTAATTGCTGGGTTTGACACTTCTCTGAGGGTCTCTAGGGAAGACTCACACTCTACAAGTATCTTCGGCTTTGGCTTTTCGGGGTTTTTTAATTTAAATCTCTGGTTAATTAGCCAATATTATCTCTTTTGTCCTTCCTTTCTAGGACTTCTGAAATGTTCTGGTCCACTGATGGCTGCCTTTCCTGTTTATGCTGTTATGCTTTATCCTGTTGTTTTTGTAATAAGATATATTTTCTGTAATAATAGTGGGCTATGACAAGGATGGACAGAAGTATATATGCTCAGTCTACCTCTTAAACTGGAAAACAAACCTTAAGGATCTTCAAATTAATTCCTAAAAATAGAGGATAAATTGTTTTTATACTCTTGCATAAAAAATGATAGAAATATACTTCTTACTTGCAGGATTTAAAAATCTAGCAGTACATTTTGGACTGTCCGTAAGGAGCCTTCCCTGAGCTCAGGGAATGGGGCCTGGGAAGTATGTTCAAGAGTGACACCAGAGCTCTGAAAGCTAGATTCTTCAGTTTTTTTTCTGTTTTTTGAGAGACACGGTCTCACTGTGTTGCCCAGGCTACAGTTCAGTAGCTATTCATAGGTGTGATCATGGTGTACTTGAACTTCTGAGCTCAAGCAGTCCTCCCACCTCAGCTTCCCCAGTAGCTGGAACTAGAGGCACACACCACTGTGCCTAGTAGCTAGATCCTTCTTTTATTCCAGAAGCATAACTGTTCCAATAGAGTTGTTTTCTGAGAGATCATGGGCACAAGTAAGGCTGTTTTCCTCCAATTCTTCTGTAAAAAGAAGTTTGGAAATTTAGGATTAAGGACAGACTGAAAAAAAAATTTTTTTGAGTTAATTTTTTTTTTTTTGGCTATTAAGTAGAAGTCCATTCTTAACCTTAATCAGTATCTTATTAAGGGAGAAAAGTAATCTTAGAGTGTTTGGTAGATTCAATACATGCCCCTCAGTAGATCTGGTTTAATGATGATGGTAGACCGTAACCATTCATTACCTGACGTGCAGGGCTGAGGCATTCACTTTATGTTGCAAATAAGAGAAAACCCCATTTATCTTGGCTTAGTCATTTAGGGAAATCATTGGCTCAAACTGAAAAGCCTAGAGGACAGTCAGGCTTCAGGGTTGGTTTACTCCAGTAGCTCAGGGATGTAATAAGAACCCAGTTTCTTTGCATCTCTCTGTTTTACCTTCTGTGTTGTTGGCTTCATCCTGAAACTAGCTCTCTTTGTAGATACAAAATGCCTACCACTGCTTCCAGGGACACATGCTTTCGCTTCCAGAGAGAAAGGGAGAGCACCTTACCACCAAGCACCTAACAACGAGAGACCAAGACTTTATTTTGATTGGACCAGTAGAGATCCCATGTCCACCTCTGAACCAATCACTGTAGTCAGGAACATACCATTTACTGATTGTCATACGTCTGGGTTATGTGCTCATTCTTTTAATTGTCACCAGATCTGCTGATTTGTTTACAACAATCAAGGACCACCCCTGAATCCTGGGCCTGAGATCAGGAGGTTGAGGTTAGGGAGATGATGAACATCCATCCCACTCAAATGGCAAAACTGCTACTTAAGAGGGGAGTGATAGAATGGTTTCTGGGGAGGGAAGAACAAAGTCTGTTACGGCAGCACTGCCATACCAAACTCATTCTTGCATCTGCAGGCTCTTCCCAAGAGAAGATAGCAAGCATGTGGTACAGATAGTGGGACTGCGAGAACTTCAGGTGGATAGTGTGGAACTCCTCTTAGAGGTAATTAATTCTTCCTTCTTTATTTTACCCGACTATAGAAGTCTAAGTATGGGAAAAAAATTCATTTTGCTCCTTAGCAAGGATAATGGACTCAGACTTAGGTAAAGGGCAATGACAAGCACCACTTCACATTAATAAAATGTGAGGCCTCTCCTGAGAGGAAAGTTTATTTCTCTGCAGGGTTGATGTCACAATACCATGGTAGCGAGAGGTAGGACATTTGGGAGAACCTAATCCATGAAAGGACACTCTTGGGCCAGTTTCAAAGGCTGCTAATGTGTTTCTCTGTGGCAGTGGGCTCTGGGAAAAGCTGCTAGAGACAAATATTCTTATTTTAAATAAAATTTTTAATAAGTAATGCTATCACATGGGTTCAAAATTCAAGTGCTTACAGGTGAGGGGTGGGGAAATAAATAAATAAATAAATAAATAAATAGGAAAAATAATTCAAAAGCTACAGTGAAAATACCACCTTCCAGTCCCCTTTCCTGAGGCAACTAATTTTATTAGTTTTCTGTGTATCCTTCCAAAGAAATTTTAAAATATGCTTTTATTAATAATAAAAGCAATACTTGCTAATTACTAAATCTAAACATTATAGAAACATATAAGAAGATAGAAAATAAGGCCCCTCCTACTATACACAATTTTCCCCTTCCTACTCTCCACTGAGATATTCACTGTCAACAGTTTTTAGAATATTTAGATTTTTCCCCCTGTTCTAGGCGTTTATTAACATATATACAAATATATTTCTGGTGAACCTTCCTTTGATGCAGTGGTCCTCGACTCTGGCTTAACATTAGATTGTTCAGAGAATTTTCTTCTTTACTTAATAAAATAGTAGAGCCTTTTTTATTGTGAAAAAGAGTACTATACCAAAAAATGCATAAAACCTAAATGTATACACTAAAAGAATCAAGCACCCTAGTAACCAACTATTCAAATCAAGAAATATAACACTGTAGGGAGGGGCAGGGCCAACATACGTAACCTGGACATCTGTGCCCCCATAATATGCTGAAATAATAATAATAAATAAAATAAAAAAGAAATATAACACTATACCGCTCCTCAAACCCCCTGTGACTTTCCAATCATACCCCCCATTATCCTTACTTTTTTGCTAATCACCTTCTTGTTCTTTGTCAGAGTTTTACTACCTATATATTCATCCCTAAACATTTAACTTAGTTTACACCTGTTTTTGGACTTTGAATAGAACCACACTGTATGTACTCTTTTTTTTTGGAGACAAATCTCACTCTGTTCCCCAGGCTAGAGTGCCATGGCGTCAGCCGAGCTCATAGCAACCTCAAACTCCTGGGTTCAAGCAATCCTACTGCCTCAGCCTCCCGAGTAGCTGGGACTACAGGTAGCATGCGCCACCATGCCCAGCTAATTTTTTCTATATATTTTTAGTTGTCCAGCTAATTTCTTTCTGTTTTTTTAGTAGAGACAGGGTCTTGTTCTTGCTCAAGCTGGTCTCAAACTCCTGAGCTCAAATGATCCGCCTGCCTCAGCCTCCCAGAGTGCTAGGATTACAGGCGTGAGCCACTGCGCCCGGCCTGTAGGTACTCTTTTGTCTCTTTTGTGTCTTGCTTCTTTTGCTCAATATTATGCCTTTTTGTTTGTTTGTTTGTTTGTTTTGAGACAGGATCTCACTCTGTTGCCCAGGCTGGAGTATATTGACACAATCATGGCTCACTACAACCTGGGTTCAAGCATTCCTCCCACCTCAGCCTCCCAAGTAGCTAGGACTACAGGTGTGCACCACCATGCCCAGCTAATTTTTTAATATTTTTGTAGAAATGGGGTCTCTATATTGCCCAGGCTGATCTCTAACTCCTGGTCTCAAGTGATCTTCCCACCTCGGCCTCCCAAAGCGCTGGAATTACAGGCATGAGCCATTGTGCCCAGCCAATATCCTACTTTTGAGTTCCATTTATGTTTTTGCATATGACTGTAGTTTTGTTCATTTTTATTTGCTGTACAGTGTTTTCATTATAGGAATATACTGCAGTTTATCTATTCTCCTGTTCACAGACAATGGGGTTATTTCTATTTTGGAGCTATTCTGAATAATGCTGCTGTGAGTGTCCTTATCTTATACGTGTATTTCAGTATAAAGCACATGGATTCTCTAGGATATATACCTAGTTGTGAAATGATTGGGTCAGAGGACATGGATATTTTCAACTTCACTAAATGATGCCAACTGTTTTCCAAAGCAGTGTACATTCATTCCCACAAGCAGTATATGAGCAATCCCATTGCTGTTCATCCTTGTCAACATTTTCTTTCTCTTTTTTTTACTTAGAGACAGGGTCTTGGTCTGTCACCCAGGCTGGAGTTCAGTAGTGCAGTCATAGCTCACTGCAGCCTCACTTGAACTCCTGGGTTCAAGTGATCCTCCTGCCTCAGCTTCCCAAGTAGCTGAGACTAAAGGCACATGCCACCATGCCTGGCTGACTTTTTTTACTCCTGGCCTCAAGCAATCCACCCACCTCAGCCTCCCACGTCACTGGGATTACAGGTGTGAGCCACCTTGCCCAGCTCATGTACAAAGGCTTTTGTGTGGACAAATGTTTCCGGTTTTCTTGAATGTGTACGCCTAGGAGTGGAATTGCTGGGTCGTACTTTTTTGAGGAACAGCCGTACTGTTTTCCAAAGTGACTGTACCATTTTATATTCCCACCAGCAATATATGAGGATGGGTATTATATTAAAAGCTCCCTCAGGAGATTCTAACGTGCAGCCTTCGTATCATTCTTCTAGTACATCCAGTGAGCCTGGCTGCACTAAATTAGTAGAGAAGACTGGGACAGGCTGAGTACTTGACAAAACTTACCTTTAGTACAGCTTCTTAGTACACCCCTCCAGGGAGAAGTGTCTGAGCCTTCCACAAAGATCAAGGGACTAGGGAAAGCAGTCAGGTCTGGCATTGTAGAAATGCTTCCAACGAGTGCCAAAGTTAAAGCCTCTCTAGCTGATTCTGCTCTCGATCTTTCTTGCCTTCTTCTCACTATGTTCTAATAATAATGATTACAAATGTTTACCAAGCACTATCTACCAAACATTTTCCCAGAGATTTTTGCAAATATTATCCCATTTAATCATCACAAAATCATAATAAGGTAAATATTATAAACTTCATTTTACAGATGACAAAACTGAGGCTAAAATTAACTGACAACCAAGGATCACATAGCTAATGGCTGGCAGAGCAGAAATCCAGCTCAGATTAATCTTACTCTGAAGTCCTTTTCACTATACTGTGCTACCTGTAGTATATAGTTAGAGATCAATTTTTCTTAAGAAAGTTAAGAGAAAAGACACTGACTGAATGAATTCATGTGTTTATGACAATATATTCTGTGATCATTCGCTTAAAATTACGTATTTAAAGAGCTGTGTTTAAACTTCAAATAGCAACAATAACAAAAAAAACCTTCAAATAACAGAATTTGTTTGAAATTTTGTTGTTGTTTTTTCAAAATTAAGAGTTGGGACTTGAGTGTGTGAAATAGCATGGTGGCCCACCATTGGTATGTGTCTTTTTCTAACAGTTTATTTTTCCTGGGACAAATACAGTAGGTAAATTTTGCTTAAGGGCTGAGACCTCATACTTGTGTGATTATCAGATTCCTGGGCCCTGGAATCCACAATCTGAGGATACCACCTGAGTGTGTCTGTTTTAGGGGATCACCTAAGAGCCTTTTTCTAGTGATTGCAAAGACAGACACAGAACAGAAATGTGTGTTAAAGGGGCTTCCCTGAAGCTGTGATCATTTTAAGCTATACAGAGCTCCCTCCACTGTGAAGTCCTAAGGGAATTGTTTCTCACATTCCTATTCCATGTTGTCCTCTTGCTCTTACTTCCTCCAGCCATTCCTTCATGTGGCGAGGAGTGTGGTCCTCGAGATTCCTTTGTCCCTAGAGATTAGACCAATTAAATGAGAAAGGAGCAAACACTAGGAGGAAGTCTTTTTTCTTTGCCTGTGGACCATAACTGTGCTAATCGGCAGTCTGGTGTCAAATCAACCCCTCTATCCCAGAAGAGTTTACAGCAGTGTTCTATCCTAAAGTATGGTTTCTAGGAAAAGCAGAAAGAAGTTTCTTGTTAGTCAGTATGTTATTGTATTATCACCATTGATACCCTCAGACTGCAATACATGTGGTATTCTACAAGCAGGAAGCCAGCTGAGATCAACATAGAAAGTTGATATAAATTATGAAGATCTGACAGAGTTACCCTCATAAACATTTATTGACTCGAAACAACAGTACTTGCTAACTCAGGTGTCTCACTGTCTCTCAGATAACACTGTTGATACTTACTCAGGTATCACCCATGTATCTGCTCAAGTATCACCTTTGGTCATTACCCTCTCAGATCACCCTCAGGATCACTCAGGCATGGCTACTTGTCAGGCAGTTAATGAGCATTTTTTCAGTTTTAGAGATTCGCAGTTTCTTAAGTCTTTCCTGTAGCCATTTTATGTAATCGTAGGCATCCATTCCCAGGACTTCTGATAAACCTTTTTCTTTTTCTTTTTCTTTTTCTTTTTTTGATACAACGTCTCACTCCGTTGCCCAAGCTAGAGTGCAGTGGTATCATCATAGTTCATTGCAGCCTTCAAATCCTGGGCTTGAGCAATACTCCTGCCTCAGCCTCCTGAGTAGCTGGGACTATAGGCACATGCCACCACACCCAGCTAATTTTTTAATTTTTTGTAGACATGAGTTCTTGCTGTTGCCCAGGCTGGTCTTGAACTTGTAGGCTCAAATAATCTTCCCACCTTGGCCTCCCAGAGTGCTAGGATTACAAGTGTGAGCCACTGCACCTGACCTGATAAACCTTTTTCATGTTTTATCATTGCCTTGGCTGTAATTGATAACAGAGGCTCACACAAGGAGAGCTTCCCCTAGATGGGATTTAGTTGTATGTGGGTGATAGAGACTTTATCTATGCACAGTACTATACTACTGAAGCGCTCACAGCCCTTTAGTATTTGTTCAGGAAAGGTTAGTGATTAAAGCCTTATAACCAAATGGAGCTGGGTACCAGTACCATGTATCCTTGAGCATATTATTTATCTTTCTGAGCCTGAAATATGTAGATGATAATAGATGGTTGGATTGGATGATAGAAGGAAATGAGATAACATACATAAAATTCTTACCGTGGGCCGGCACGGTGGCTCATATCTGTAATCCTAGCACTCTGGGAGGCCGAGGCAGGTGGATCGTTTGAGCTCAGGAGTTCGAGACCAGCCTGAGCAAGAGCGAGACCCTGTCTCTACTAAAAATAGAAAGAAATTAGCTGGACAACTAAAAATATATATAGAAAAAATTAACCGGATGTGGCAGCACATGCCTGTAGTCCCAGCTACTTGGGAGGCTGAGGCAGTAGTATTCCTTGAGCCCAGGAGTTTGAAGTTGCTGTGAGCTAAGTTGACGCCATGGCACTCTAGCCCGGGCAACAGAGTAAGACTCTGTCTCAAAAAAAAAAAAAAAATTCTTATTGTGATTGGCTCAAAGTGTGACATGTCACTTACTAAGTTCCTGAATGTTTCCCAGCACCACAGAATTCAGCAGTTGTCTTTACTTCCTATTGTAGCAGGTTCCTATTTCACTATTTACATAACATGTTCTCTCTAAAGGATCTAGATTTAGCTGGGTGCAGTGGCTTACACCTGTAATCCTAGCACTTTGGGAGGCCGAGGCTAGGAGTTTGAGACTAGCCTGAGCAACATAACAAGACCCTGTCTCTTCAAAAAATAGAAAAATTAGTTGGGCATGGTGGTGTACACCTGTAGTCCTCACTACTCAGGAGGCTGAGGTGGGAGGATTGCTAGAGCCCAAGAATTTGAGGTTGCAGTGAGCTATATGATGACACCACTGCCCTGTAGCTCAGGTGACAGAGCAAGACAAAGAAAGAAAGACATGGGGGGAGGGAAGGAAGGAGGAAAGAAAGAGGGAGGGAGGAAGGAAGGAAGGAAGGAAAGAAGGGAGAAAAAAAGGAAGGATCTAGATTTAGAAACTTGCCCAATAGAGTTTAGTTAGGGAAGGAGGAGTTTGAGAAAAAGGAGATATTGAGAGGAATACGGGGCCTGGTGATTTTTAAGGTGATTGCATTAATTTTGCCCAGCTCCTAGACTTGCATTTCTCCTGAATAGATTTTCTCTTTTCTTTTATCTCCTTCCTTGCTTCGTTCCATTTTTGACTTATACTGGTGATCCCATGGTATCTCATGTTCATCAATAAAGCTGTATTTTTTCGTAAAACTGACTGTTTTACATTTATGAAAGGAACTATTAATAGTTTACATTTTTGGAAGTTTGCACAAAGATGTAAATTCTTTAGTGTTGTGTTTTTTTTTTTTTTTTTTTGGAGACAGAGTCTTGCTCTGTTGCCCGGGCTAGAGTGTTGTGGCATCAACTTAGCTCACAGCAACCTCAAACTCCTGAGCTTGAACAATCCTTCTGCCTCAGCCTCCTGAGTAGCTGGGACTATAGGCATATACCACTATGCCCAGCTAATTTTATCTATATATTTTTAGTTGTCCAGCTAATTTCTTTTCTATTTTTAGTAGAGACAGGGTCTCACTCTTGTTCAGGCTAGTCTTGAACTCCTGAGCTCAAATGATCCTCCCACCTCAGCCTCCCAGAGTGCTACAATTACAGGCATGAGCCACCGTGCCCAGCCAATATGTTTTTAAAAATTAATATTTATGAAGAATTTATCATGTGCTAGTCATGGTACTAAGTGCTTTACATGTACTATCTTTTTTAGTCCTCATGACTAACCTATGAGATTCCTATTTTTATAGATAAGAAACTGAGGTCTTTAAAGGTTAAGTGATTTGCAAAAGTTTGCACAACCATATGGTGGACTGGCATGTGAACCCTGACAGTCTGACTTCAGATTTCACTCTCTTAACCACTACATTTCAGTTATGTGTCATTTACAAAAATTTGATGATCTTTGATATTCACAAACTGCCTCATTTTTACTCCTCAGAGCTCAGCTGCTTTATTCCACAGTTTGTGAAAGGCATGCTGATAGCAGGCTGTTACTGAAGCTGAAAAAATTGGACCAAGGACCAGAAATTCCTCACACCTTCCCTTTAAGGCATTTAGCCAGGAAAGGTCACTTGAATATGTTAGGTTTTCTCAGGTGCACTCAAAGGTGCCCAGTACACTGTGGAGGACAAGGTGCAGTGAAAAGCCAAGTGTAAGACTCTGTAATAGAAGAAGCCAACCTTTCTTGACTCCCCTGGGGATGAACAACAGGGCATCCTTTGAACTTCCTGTTAGTATCCATAGTTCCTTGCTAGTTATGGCCTTCAGGCCTCTCTCAGCTCTCACTGGGTGTTAGCAGAAGTAGCACCATTACATGTGGAAGAGGGTACCTGACTTCTATTCCTGGCCTGACCATATTCTACCAAGTGACCTTGGATAAATTACTTAGCTTCCCTTTGTTCCTTCTCTTATCTCTCAAACATATTGCATATAAAAATGTAAATGTTTAAGACCTCCTCTATCTTTTCATGGGGTTTGTAAAAGATAATTAAAAAAAAAAAAAAAGCAAAGGAGCTATGACAAACCTAAAACCCTAAAAGGAAACGTACCACAGCCTTATTAACTCTGGGATTATGGGAAATGTATATTTTCTTCTTTATTCATTTCCTATATTTTCCACATTTTCCAGAATAAGCGTGTCTTTTCTAATGAAGTAAAAAAGGAAAAGTTTGAAAAAATAAAAATACAAATCTGAGATGATCCATCAGCATTGCATCCCAACCTATATAAGCATGAAGCGAGAGATAGGGAGAGGCCAGGATGAGGAAGTACATTTAAACTAGATGGCTCAGTCACAGCTTTGGCCTTAGGTGTCCTACTCAGCATCTGAGCTTAGTTAGCAGTGCTTTTTTCCTCAGCATTTGCCATACCTAGTATAAGAGATTACCATTCTCTCTTTTTTTTTTTTTAAACAGGGTCTTGCTCTATTGGCCCAGCTACAGTGCAGTGGCATCATCATAGCTCACTGTAACTTCAAACAAACTCTTGGGCTCAAATGATCCTTCTGCCCCAACCTCCCGAGTAGCTGGGACTACAGGCACATGCCACCATGCCTGGCTAAATTTTTTTTTTTCGTGGAGACGGGTTCTCAGTATCGCCCAGGTGGGTCTCCAACAAACTCCTGACCTCAAGCAATCCTACTGCTTTGGCCTCCCAAAGTGCTAGGATTATAGACGTGAGCCATCCAACCCAGCCCTAACTCTTCTGATTTCTGATTAGCAGCAATGTGCTATCCACATAGTTGATAACCTAGCTTTATAAATTAGCAGGTTCTTCTCTTTACAAAAAGATTCATCATGTAGTCTCTTTAAATTTTTAACAAGCTTTTTACAAAATGAGTGCCTTTAAATAGGATTCAAAAATTTGATTTTAAGTCTCACATACAGATAATCTTTAGAAATATGCTATTGTTTAGACCATGGAAGAACTTATTTTTAGTTAGCTAAATTTTTAAAAAGCTCTTGCCCCTACTTGTTAAGATATTTTATGTCCTATTGTTGAAGTTTG